AAAAAAAAAAAAAAAAAAAAAAAATTCATATTTTTAGTTATTTATTATAATTTCAAAATTAATTTACGTATAAATAGATGGGTATGAACATTTGAACCTCAGTCATTAAAAGAATTAATATAGGTCAATTACTCGAGTATATTCATTTATTAAAAAAGAGAAGTATTATTCATTGTGTTATAATCCATTATAATTAAATCATAATATAAAAAGTTTATCTTTCAAGGGTTGGTTGAATCTCTATTCTTCCCGTGGTTAGGCTAATTTAATAGAAATATATATTTATTTCAAAAATATTCTTAAATTTTAAAAAAAATATTGATAGTTTCTTTCGAATTTGGGAGGGTTTCAAAAATACATTCTGACTTTTAAAAATGTTTTAAAAATATCAGATATATTTTTAAAGTTTTATTAATATTCTTTAAATTTTTGATAGAAAAAATAAAAAGTATCCGTTGTTGTTAGTATAATCTTTCAAAAGTAACATTAATACCGTTAAATGATCTATGAAGTATAGATATATAGTTTCCGTCTATATATTAATGTAATAGCCTTTTGAGCCTCATCTTATAAAGTTAAGGTATTTTGAATTTTTTTTAAAAGTTAATTTATATTAATAAAACAGTATTATTAAAACAAATTATTAATTTTGAAGCTCAAATTTTTTTTAGAGGCATACCCTAATTATTTTTTTATTCTAAAAAATATAAAAAATAAGAAACTTTTGCTTAAAAATAGAAATTCTTTAAGTGAAAAAACACTGAAAAAATAGTAGAAAATAGAAATTTTATTACTGTATTTCCATGTATTCTTTGTTGTTTTATAATTATTAGTTTTTTTTTTCTAAATCATTCTAAAATTAAAAGATTAAGTTAATAAAAAAATACACATAATAATAATAATAATAGAAAATATATAAAAATTATATTAAAAATATAAGAAAAAAACGGTTTCATTTTAATGATTGTTGGGTACACAAAGAAATAAGAGGGCTATTGAAGACATTGTGTTGGGTGTAGTGATTGAAATTTGAATTTCTTCTCTTATTATTATTATTATTATTATTATTTTAAATGAGAAAGAAATGAGCATAAAAGAAATAATGATGAGAAATTGGAAAGGGAATTCCTTTCTTTTTGTTCTATTTTTCATTTTTTTCAACTTACTTTTTGGTGTTTTATCATTTCTTCCCCTTTTGTCTCTTTCCTTCTCTATCATGTTAGGTTTGAGTATCCATTCCAACTAAGAACGACTTAACCGACTTAACCGAGTATAAGTTAGTTGAAGTACGGGTTTGCCAGTCACTAGATGGTGTACGAGCGAGGACGCTAGACCTCCCATGGGTAGATTAAAAGATCTTACATTAGTTGGAGAGGAGAACAAAACATTCTAATAAAAATGTGAAAATCTTTCACTTAGAGGCGCATTTTAAAATCGTGAGGCTGATGACGATATGTCACCGACCAAAATGGACAAAATCTACTAGCAGTGAGTTTGTGCCATTACATTTTAGGTATTAATAAGTTGATATTCGACACGATTTCTATCTAAACTATCGATTAAGGAAATTGTAAAACCAACATTAAATTATTTTTCTTAACGAAAATCTCGTCTCGTAAAAAAACTATATAAATTCTCAAAATCGACATCTTTATGTTGGGTATTCTTCTATGGTATGACTGACTTAGTGGTTTATGTACGACCAAGCTCACGCATCCTAGTTGTTTAGGGCGGGCGGAGTGAACTCTCATTCAATTTTGGTATTCAATACCGTTGAGATGCTTGGTTGACTCCATAACTTTAATAGAAAGATGACTTATTTAATAATTCATGCGTAAAGGTAAGAAACTTTGAATGAACTAATGCGAATGAGTGTAAACCTAGTTGTTCGTAGGCACAAAGACACAGAAGTTACTAAAATGAAATCATATTTTTTAATCCGACCGCTCTATAGTTATATTTTATGTTCATATAACCTAACCAAGTTGGTTGGATCACCAACTGATCATAGCCTAATTGGTTGTTTCGATCTTTCCACTCCAAATATTGTAATAAAAAAAGATTGGTTGGGTCCATTTTTCTTTTTTCTTTCATCTTTTTTAGTACCTTCTTCAATTTTGGCTGGTTACCAATTAGGTCTATGAATCTACTTTAATTATTATATTTTGTTCACTTTCTTTTTTTTTTTTTTTTTTTTTTTTAGGGCGCTTATACCGAGAGAGTGGGCCTTATGGGGTAGGGCACAAACCAACAGGGACAACACGCCCCACATCGCCCACCTCTATATTGATTCTGAATTTGTTCCAACCGCTGTCACACATGAATTCTGATCACGTTAAAGATATTTAGTCTTGAATTATAGTTTACCATAATATCATATTTGATATTTTAGTATAGTAAGATATTACGGCTTACCATAGGTATTATATTTGCCGTTTTAGTTTAGACAAATATCTTGTATCCATTTATTGTTCTTTCCTCTCTAAATGATTATAAAGAGAACTTCCTCCCTCTTTTAAAGGGGGTAGTTTTAACAAATATTTTCAACCACATAGGCCTAATCAACCAGGAGCATTGAGCCATGCCAAACACCCCCATCTTTTTAAGAACTTTAAAGCTCTAATAGCTTTAGCACTAAATTTAATTTCAACGACTAACTACCATAAATTGGGTGAAAGTTAGCATCTTAAGAAAAACCTAATCTACCAAGACCCTCCCATTCCTATCCTTCCAAACGTCCCATGAATGCTCGACCCCATTGAAATCTCAGGTTTTAAGCTTTTGGGAAGTTTCGGTGAGTTTGACGAAACCTCATTTTTTAGAAGAAATCCCGTGACCAAGGTCTCACTCATTATCTGTCCATAATGCTTCTTCTAAAACCAAGGTCTCACTCATTGGTCACTGGGTTTCTTGTAAGAGCCTAAACCCACTATTATCAGATATTGTTCTCTCTTTTCTTTCATTACGGGGCTTCCCTACATGGTTTTAAAATGTTTCTGGTAGGAAGAGGCTTCCACACCCTTATAAGGAATGTTTCGTTCCTCTCTTCAACGAATGTGGGATTTCACATTCTTGCATATGGGCCATTTCTTGATTTGTGCATGTCATCCATGCGCAAAGACCATACTAATCTTCTCTGTATGGTTCCAATTTTATCAAACGTCCCCGAAGGGATGAACTTATGCTTCTACCATTTATATAGGATATCTCATTGGTATTCTTAAGCGAGGGGGGATTCCTCTTAAAAGGCCCACATGGACATAGAAAAATAAAAGTAATTCCAACCCATATACTCTTTTGAGCCAAAGAATCTTTTGTCACTGTCGTTATAACTAGAAGTTATAACTAGAAGATATGAAATGATGCAGAATTTTATTAAAAAATTCATTATTTCTTTCTTGAACTCTAAATGCTTTATTTTTGTAGTTCCATCTAGCAATTCCTTCTTCTATATTCAATAGGGGTGATGTAATAGCTGGAAAAAAAAAATCATAAATAATAAAATAAATAAAGAATTAAACAAATAAAAATAATTATAAAAAAATAGTTAAAATAATAATAATAAAAAATAAATAAATAAAAATCTTTCCCACTTTTCTCCACCAACCTCTCATTCATTCCCACAAATATCTCTCATCAACCCATCCTTATACCAGAAAGTAATAGTTACTGCAAAAAGAAACAAGAAAACAACAATTGTTAGATTTACTTGAGAAAAGAATGAGAAAAACAACAACTGTCAGATCTACTTCAGAAAATAATGAGAATGACCTTTAACCAGTTGAGATTCATGGGAGATTTACACGAAGATAGATATGATCAATAAGGTATATATTAAATCTTCATTTTCTTTTATCCTATTTTTTTAGAAATCACAAGCCAATTATAGTTAGATCTTCATTAAATTATTACCACGATTCACCTTTGAGTTAGAAATTAAATGTCAATCATTTATACATAATTCTAGTAAATCACGTCACATTAGTAATATTAGATTAAATTTATATAAGTAGTCAAATGAATAGATTAAAAATAGAATGGCCTATAAAGTTTGTGAACACCAAAGATTTGGAAACAGGGATCCACTCCAAACAAAGATCCACTCCAAATTTGAAATAAATGAGAACAAAATTAAAAAGCAACAGAGTATATATAGATAAAAAAAAAAGGAAGATTCAGTAATTAAAAATAAAGCCCAGAATAACTTGAAATAACTTTATCTACTTTTTTTTATACAATAGTAACTATGAAAAATATAACAATGGACCATGTAAATTAGAGAAATAATCTTATAGAGTTCAAACTTGAAATTGATGTCATGGGCTCACATAAGTTGACTTGGATTTCAAAGGACAGAATCGAACTTTTATTAAGGATATATTCGTGACAACAACTTAAACTAACCAGGTAAGTGATCTTACTGTCAGCATGGTTATATTTGATGTTGACACGTACCTGTGGTTCTGCACGTGTCACATATTTTGATATGTGTGAATTATCTGTGAATTGATATGCTTATATTATGTTTTTGTTATAATATGTGAATTGTATGATAATAATTGTGGTACGATGTGTTCAAGGATATGTTTGAGATAGAGTACGAGAAGGATGCACAAAATGAAATGTAACGATAGGAGTAAGATACGTTCATGAAACGTTAAGATTAGGTTACATACTGGAGTGCTATGGATAAGAGAGATTGATGAAAGAATATGGTTAGGATATGGGTAGAAAGGGATAGGTTTGTGATAGATTGATAGAACGATAGCGTTAGGATACGTTCCTGTGATGATATGACTAAGGTATGTTCACGTAATGATATGACTATGATAGGTATAAGAACGTTAAGACTATGATAAGTTAGGGAACGATATGACCACGAAGTGTTTACGCTATGACATATTTATGATACGATATATTGTGATGTGATGTGTTATATTTAGATTGTTTTGTGTGACCATTGAGATAATTGTTGTATGAATTGTACGTTATGAAATGACATATTAAAAGCATGAAGCGTTATGTTATGTTTTCTAAATTGTATGTATATAACATGTTATGAATGACATGATATCACGATAAATGAAATGAAATGAAATGTAATCCCGTTAGGATTATGTATGATACATAGACTGAAAAATGAAAAATGACATGTTAAGCATGAAAGATGATAGTTGGGTTATATTCATTAATGATAAAAGTAGAAATATTGGGGACCTCATGCATTATGTGTGCTCATGCATTTGGGGGGATACCCCCATTCCATCACGAGGGTACGGACGCGTACATCCAATAGCAGGATAACGATTGTTATGTTTTACATAGCGCTGCCGTGACGGTTACTAGTTCTAACGGGTGTCCGGCCTAAGGAGCTCCCAGAGTATGCTCGCCCGACAAGGAAAGTGGCCCAGCGGTGTGCGAACTGACTGGTGAGCCCATACTCGCACGTATGGGCTGCATGTAGAGTATATGGTACACGTCCAAATTACCCGTTAGGACAGTAGTGTAGGAAAATAAATTGAAAGGATAGGTTCCATCATTGCATTTATTTTCTTAGACTTAGGCTAGAATAGGATGTTTTTAACTTAAACGCTTATTTATTTTATTTAGTCTTTTGTTGTGTCGTTTTAAAGATGTTTCGAAACACGTAAGTACATGGCTGTGTTTTAAGATAAAGGATGTGTTTTATAGAATTTAAATAAAGTCTTCCGCATTCAATGTTTCGGATATGTATATAGTAGCGACCTTAAATTAAGTAGAAAATTTCGGATCGTTACAGGTGAGGAGATTAGTTTGATCGACACCAACAAAAATTTGTTTGAATTTATTTATATTCACCAATTCTTATCTTCTTCCTAATTTGGTAGGGTTGAAACTTCTACCAAAGAATCTACTTGTCATTTATATTTTGGCATTTAACAATTTATTATAAGAACAACTTTTGAAATGGGACGAAATCATTTTTTACTATGCATTGGATAACCAAGAAATTATTAATTATTAGTGTTATTTTCGTTATATGCATGGAACAAAAAAAAAAAAAAAAAAAAAAAAAAAAAAAAAAAAAAAAAA